AAAGATAAACTTAATCCCAAGGGGAAAACCCAATGCCCTTGGGCTTTTCCCAAGCCCTACAAGGAAGCTGGTAACTTTAGGGGGACCCTCCCAGTGGGACTTCCACTTTCAAGAGCCCTTAACTAACCTGGGGGAACTCCTCCTCGTCTGTGGGGATCATCTTTTCCCTGCAACTCATGACTCCCAGGCCTGGAGGGTGGCCCTCATCCTCTGCGCCAAGCTGCTCTCTCGCCTGTAGTGGGCTTTGGGGGGGGTTATTGTCCCCTGGAACAGGGCTCCTCTATGCAAGGCTTCTGGGGCCTCTGGCTTGGTGCTGTCTGCTGGCTCAGTAGCCCAAACACTGTCTGGCTCCTTTGACTCAACCTTTTGCTATGGGTCGAAGGCCTGGGCTGCCTTCGTTCAGCATCTCCTGCACCAAGCTCCTAACCTCGTTCTGGCGGGTGAGGACCTGAGCCACCCAAGCACTCCAAAGGTCCTACTCCATGCACCAGCCTGTGCACCATGTCTCTGGCCACACACCTGAAGTTGCAGACCCGAGCCGCCTCATGCAGCTCCCAGGGTCTGGATGCTGTGCACTGTGCTGCACACCAAGAGCCTAGCTGTAGGAGCCGTCCACCATTCCCTACTGATGGAAGTCTTCAGGGATGCTTATGGGCTACTGCTTCACCCTGCTGAGCAGCTCTCCTCAGCTCTTCTAAGCCCTGCTCATCATTCTTCTCTGTCCCGAGTGTGTTCCCCTCATGCTGGACATGCAGCTCCTTTTATACGCTCCAGGACTCTGCCCCTGAAGTCTTCCAGACCTGAGTGTTGCAGTCTTCAATCAGGTAGAGAGGAGGAAGCTCCTCTCCCCCTCCCCTGAGGAAAGTGGCATGACTTAACTCCTCTTGCTGCCTCCTGATTGGTGGATGGGCTCCACCAATCAAAACAGGAAGTTTTCAAGCCTGGGACTGAACCCAAGCTCTGAAAGGCAATCCTGCTACACTAGCAAATGTTTTGTTAATAAGATACTCTCCAGTCCTCTGGAATTTGGTTTCTTCTCCAAGTCCAGAGCCTTCTGGCTGCTTGGAAAAATGAAGCATTTTCATGTTACCTTTCCATCAGTCTCTATTGCTTGGATCCTAGTCCTTTCCCTCCAGTGAAGAACTCCATTGACCACTTGCTGGTCTTTGGGTTATTTTTTTTCATCACTGATGGCAGTAGGATGAAATTGACATAATTTTTATAGTCCAGTGCTCTGGGACTAGCCTTGTGTCCTGGTGTGAAACTAACCAGACTTGCTAATTTCACCCTGTTGTGCCTTGGCAAAGCCATGTGCAATGCATAGTAAAGCTGGTCACCCTACAAAGTAATGCTTTGGCAGATTATATTCTGTCCACATTTGGATACAATCATAAGGGTTATAAATGCATTTAGTTACAGGATTCAGAGGTAAAACTTAATGGAACCTTATAATGGAGCTATGCTAATATACGCTAGATAAGGACATAACCATACATCTTCATATAATCCTATTCATAACATGTATACCTTTCAATTTCATATGGTTTGTATTCATAAATTCATGTTGGGAACAGAAGTCATCATATTAATATGGAGAAATGACTGACCAACACAGCAGTTGATGAAAAACTGGACAGGAATAGATATGATCAACACAAAGAAAATTTTCATTTTAAGGACTCTGAGGCCTCCTCCCTCCCAAAGCAATGATTTATAATGCCAATTTTTTATGATATTTCCTGCCAAAAGGAAAAAAAAGTATGTCAATCAACCACAATTGTCACTGGGAGTCCATGGGGGAGACATATGCTCAGTGCTTCTGCAAATTAGTCCTTAAATCCAGAGGTGCATAAGAAATTGTTCATTTCCCCTATCCATGCACAACTTTAGCAGTCCACACATGCAGGTTGCTTGGTCAAGTGAATGCATCTCTCCCTTTCATGGACAGAGGAAGGAAGGAAATCAGACAAGGGACTAAAAGCAAGGTCTTTTTCATTAAGAAATATATAGTTTGTTAGGACTTTTATCTTTGCTGAATTTCTGTTATTATTTATGGTCCTCATTGCTGTATGAGACATAAGAGGAAGAGATTATAACCGAAAACTCTGACCTTGCAAACACTTATGCCTGGGTTTAATTTAAACATGTGAGTAGTCCCATAAAGCTCCTTAAACTGCAAACTCTGCAGATGACTTCAGTGGGGATACATGCAAGTGCAATGCCCTGCTTGCATGAAGGCAGTTGAAGGACTAGAGCCTTAAACACACAGAAAGAACAGACTATGTTACGGAGCCTAAAGAAGGACTAATTTGCAATATTACTTAAATGCAAGCAGAAATAGTCATGGAACAGCCTCTAAAGAAAAAAAATTCCAGTGTTTAAAGTATTAAAAATAATACAAAAGGATGCAAAAAAAATTTTTAAATACTTTTCTGGGTTTGGATTTTTTATTATTTTTATAACTATTTCTCTACAAAAATAAATAACAAAGATATTTTGTTGTTTTTTCTCACAGAAAAATATTTCCCAGCTTACTGTTAGCCCTCTCCTTCTTTAAAAACTGGGACTTATATTTACAGAATATATGTCTGTACAGTATATACATAAATACACTCATGTGCAAGGGTTACATCCAGTGATATGCAAAGGTGTACACACAGAATGCAGATAACATCATCAGGGTTACACCTAGAGAAAATCATGTAACCGGGGGGGGGGAATACATACACACATCCATATATATATTATACAGGGTCCTCATAAAGTCCATGTGCACTTTTAAACTTTAATAACTTAGGTTGTAGGTATAATAGAAACAATCTCTAAGTGGCATTTAAAAGCAAATTTGTTAAAGTTTTAGGACGTCTAGAATACACAATGCTTCAACATAACCACCATTTTCTTCTTACAGCTCGTATGGACTTCAATTCTGCTAGCCATACAACAGTTTACCTTCTCATCTACAGTAGCCATTTTTTGTTTGTCAAAGGATCTGAAATAAGAACTAATTCATTATTACTTATGAAGTCTACCATTGTGTACTCTAGTTGTCCTAAAACTTTAATAAATTTGCTTTTAAATGCCATTAACAGATTATTTCTATCATACCTACGACCTAAGTTATTAAAGTTTGAAAGTGCACAAGGATTTTATGAAGACTCTGTATATATATATTATAATTTTCATTATAATAATAATAATAATTGGCATTTAAGGGGTTGAAATATAAAATGTATGCTGATGAGGGTTCACGGGCAGCTGGTAAACCTGGAAGGGGGTACACGTACTCGACCTGGCAGGATGTGAATAGTGGGGTCTCCCAGGGCTCGGTCCTGGGGCAGACACTGTTCAACATCTTCATCAGCGACTTGGACGAGGGAGTGGAAAACACGTTGTCCAAGTTTGCCGATGACACCAAGATGTGGGCAGAGGTAGGCACGCTCGAAGGGAGAGAGAGGCTACAATTAGATTTAGACAGATTACAGAAGTGGGCGGATAGTAATAGGATGGGCTTCAATGTAGATAAATGCAGGGTGCTGCACCTGGGGAGAAGGAATCCACAGCATACATACAAGCTGGGGAGCTCCCCCATTGAGAGCACAGAGGCGGAAAGGGATCTTGAAGTCATTATTGACTCCAAGATGAACGTGAGCCACCAATGCCAAATCGCAGCCAGCAAAGCCAACCATACCTTGTCGTGCATCCAAAGATGCATCTCAAGCTGGTCCAGAGAGGTGATACTCCCCCTCTACATGACATCGGTCCAGCCTCAATTGGAGTACTGAGTCCAGTTCCAGGCACCGCACTTTAAGAAGGATGTGGCCAGCCTTGAGAGGGTTCAGAGGAGGGCCACCCACTTGGTTGGAGGGCAACAGGGCAGACCCTATGAGGAGAGACTGAGGGACCTGAACCTGTTCAGCCTTAGCAAGCGGAGGCTGAGGGGGGATTTGGTTGCTGCCTACAAACTCGTTAGGGGAGATGAGCAGCAAATAGGAAGGGTCCTATTCCCCCCAGCAGCACCTGGGCCGATGAGGAACAATGGCCAGAAGCTGCTGGAGAATAGGTTCAGGTTAGAGATTAGGAGACACTATTTCACTGTTAGGGTGGTTAGCATCTGGAACCAACTTCCTAGGGAAGTGGTCCTCGCTCCTACCTTGAGTAAATTAAAAAAGAGGTTGGATGAACACCGGTCTGGGGTCATGTGATCCCAACGTGTGCTCTGGCCAGTGGCAGGGGGGGTTAGACTAGATGATCTATTTAGGTCCCTTCTAACCCCAACTACTATGAAACGAGAAACACATACACAAGATATATATTATATATATATATAGCACGCCACTGGGGTTCTCCACCCCAATATACAGAGAAAGAGGATATATACATATAAAGCAGAGGTTCCCAAACTTTTTCTTATTGTGTACCTCCTTCCAGATTCATCAGCTGCTTCCATACTCCCACCAGGATACATTTTATATTTCAAACCCTTAAATGCCAATTATTATTATAATGAAAATTAAATGCCCCATTACACAATTTCTCCCATGTACCCCCCAGAGATGCCTTGCATATCTCCAGGGATATATGTACCACCGTTTAGGAACCCCTTGATATAGTTTCATAGATTTAGGGTCGGAAGGGACCTAGTA